GCGGCGACCATGGAGGAGGAGCTGCGCGCGCTGCTTCGCGACCTCGGCGCGCTCAAGCAGCTCCCCGACCCGGCTTCCATCGACCGGGTAAGCCGCCGTCTGCTCCCTCCCTCCCTAGATCTCGATCCCTTCCTCCGGTCACAGCCCCCACGTCTTCCTCTCCCCTATTGCCAGATGCGAGATCGCGTGGTGAAGATGATGGGCCCGTCCGGCGACGCTGCCACCACCCGATCGAAGATCAAGGTACGATCCAATGGCGCTTGACAGTCCTTCTAGGTGGTGAATTGTATTTGTGTGTTTGTGGAATTGACTGTGGCTTGCGGATTGGGGTTGCGTGGCGCAGGACATGAGCGCGGAGGATGTGGATAGCAACCCCTACAGCAGGCTCATGGCGCTGCAACGGATGGGGGTCGTCGGCAACTACGAGCGCATCCGCAACTACTCTGTCGCCATTGTGGTAAGCATCTCGCTCTTATCTGGCTGTAAGGCGTTACTTAGAAAGCAATTCGAGTTGGCAATTGGCATTGAGCAGACCTGTAACTTTCCTCTTTGAGTAGAGGACGTTAGTTGGTATACTGTGAAGTTCTCAGATGGAAATCATGGATCAAGCAAATATGTAAAGGGTAGTGAGTAGATGGAGTGTAGATGATTACTCTTCACTTGTGTCTTTGCATACTAGGCTTTCCTTGATGAAATATCGTGGTTAACAACATATACTCAACCCCACAGGAGTTTGATGTCAATGCAGTAATAGCCACATAATTAGATAATACCTGTACAAGGTTGGGGAGGCACGGTCAGCGTTGGTGTTCTGGTGCAGGTCGCCGGACCCCGGAGAGAGGAGAGGTCATCACGTCGAGCTCATGGGGATAGGGCAGCCACCATTTGATTGATTGTCACATTTCTATGGCTTAGCGGATTTAGAACTATGGTAATTTCTGAATTTCTGATTGGATTAGTTTTTAGGTGACTATGATTTTGGGTTTGTTGACCCTTTTGACCTCAAGTACTACTACAAAGCAGAATTTCTGAATTTCTGATATGATTAGTTTTTAGGTGACGATGATCCCTGTAAGTTACTTTGTAGTAGCTTTGTACAAGACCACTCGCAGCTAGACTTTGTGTTGTGGTAAGGACCTGACAGCAGCTAAAAAAAACCTTTTTTGGGGAATGCTTAGTGTGCCAACACAAGTTTTTTGTGGGATGTGGGTGGACGCAACAGATCGAATTTGGTAGTGTTCATCTTATTTTACGTTTTAGTACTCAATTGTCAGCATAGCTCTCTAGTCTCTCTGGTTCGCCCAACTGCAATTTCACATAAAACACATATACATATTATGTTGTTGTTGTCTGCATGAATGAATTTGATATACATAAAACACATACACTGTTCACAGGTGCGTAACAACTTGCTTGCCCTAACTCTCTTCCTATTTTTCCGCATGTAGATTAATGTAGTTTGTGGATGCATAATTTGTAGCATGTCCGGCTCCTCGCCTCACCGGACATGCACAATATATCATCTTCATATTGTCTACCAAATGGTAGGAAAATATGTATCCATAGGGCAATTTTACTGCCTGGTGGTTGTTATGAAGCCGTAGAAGTTTTTTTAAGGAAACCCGCAGAGGAGAAATGGTAGTCACTAGAAGGGAACGCGCGCCTTTGTTGCGTCGATCTTCTTTCGAGGGTTGTGAGCTTTTTAGCTGTCCAGCATCACCCTATGGCAGATAGTCATTTCTATTATGTGTTAATGCTTTCCTTTTAAACTACTTCAAAAAAAACAAAGAAATTGGATTCTTTTAGCCGTATTATCCTTTGAACATCTATATGAAATGATCTAAGTTTAAGTGTATTTAGTTTTGAAGAAAACTAAAGGTAATTAATGTGAAAATTAGATATGTCCTATTACCTGGCATTATATAGTTCATCTAGGCTTGGTTGGCAATATATATTATCTAGACATTAATTTCATTTGTTTGTAGCTATTACATAGGCGATCTCTTGTTAATAGAAATCACTCACTTTTTTGTCTTTGTATATTTATTCCCGTATCTACTGTACATCACAACATGCAAGGAAATATATGTCTGCTGAAATTTAATTTTATTTGTTCTTTGCTCTTTACAGAAATCTCGGATTCATAAATGGGAGAAGCACATAAGGGAGAAGAAGATGATTGCAAGGATGGAGAGGGAGCAAATCATTTGGAGGGATAGAATGCCACTGTTTGGTGTTTTTATGCATTTTTGTTTGCTTTCAACTATGTTTACACTAGCTGGGAATAAGTGATTAGGCAATAAGTGTAGATGTATGGATATGCTCTAATGCTCCTAGTTTACTATAAATCTTCGATTTGGAATGATATGTAATGATACTGGTTTATTACAAATCTGGGCTTGTTTTAGTTGTTAGAATTGTATGCATAAAATGGAATTGATGGATTTTATTTTTTTAATTCCTTAGTAGTTAGTAGTAGCGTGGGGTGAAATGGAGCGCTACTAGTATTTAGGATACTAGTAGCGTGTGGTACGATAGACACGGTACTACTATTCCGTTAGTAGTAGCGCGGGTGACATCCGCACTACTAGTAAAATGTTAGTAGTAGCGCGGGTTTACCCCGCGCTACTACTAACTATTAGTTGTAGCGCGATACTAGTAGCGCGGGTACCCGCACTGCTAGTAGCCTTTTTCCTAGTAGTGTGCGACTCCAGATGAAGGCACCACGATGCACCATGCTGCTCCCTTGGAAGGCCGGCTGAGCGATGCAGCGGCGAAGGCAGTGAACGAGCTGTTGTCGTCGGGCGCCGGCGGCAACCTGAGCAGCCTCTCTTCCTGGGCCGACAAGGTCAGGTTCAGGTACTACTAGCCGGCGCCTCTCCACTTCATCGACGTCCCCGACAACGTCTGCAACTACTACTACAACAGTACTTAGCAATTAACCAACACTTTGTTTTATTGGACTGAAACTGACTGTAGCATAATGGTTTGTGTGTTGTCTCAGGGGACTGCAAGGACGAGGAGGGCGTCAAGGTCCACTGCGTTGCTGGTGCCATCAACAACTACACCTCCCAACTCCTCACCTAGGGATCATCATCGCCATCACCATCTTCTAAATCTTTTGGCCAACGTAATGTTCAGTTACATCATACGAACTTCAGCACATCTATTTTGGTTGACTGAATTAGTACTGAAGATGCCATGTTTTTATGCATGGAATACTGTAGATAACCTGACCGAAGTGCTCTTGTTCCTCTCAAACTTCATGGGCGACATCCACAAGGTAGTACTCCTGCCAAACCCCAAGTGCCCGAATTTTTGCAAGTGTTTCTATTCCTGGTTGCAACTTAAGCTGACACTTCTTGTTTATGTAGCCACTGCATGTTGGGTCCTCCTTTGTAAAAGAAGGGAACACCATCAACGTCCAATAGTACAGCAGGAAATATGTACTCCACCATTTAAGGCTAGTTCAGACTTAATGCTGAACCCTTCTCTGAGTAGTATGATTCCAAGGAAACATATGGCAATAATGCTGAAACTTTTCACATTGGCATTGCTATGTTTGATCTGGTGGGGCCAAAAAAAACTCATATGCTTATGCTGAGCTTACTTTTAATATCATTTTATTCTGTGTGATGAGCTTAGTTTTGTACTGTAGCCATCTTCTTGTTTACTTTGCTGAATCCTGTCTTGTGTACTAATCATGAGCTACTAACATTTGGCTTCTGTGTGCTAATTAAACCTGATAAGTATGTATACTTCTTTGAGATACAAATTCCACATTGTATGTTTATGTGCTAATTAAACCTGATAAGTATGTATACTTCTTTGAGATACAAATTCCACATTGCATGTTTATGAGGTTCAATTTTTACAGATGTTGCCAAATGAATGTGTCAACATGTCTCTCCTTAGGGGTTGTTTTAAACCGCAAATGATCTACTGTATCAATTTTTTGCTGTTCAAAGATTGAAATCCTGGTTCATTTTCAAAGATCGAAATGTTGTTGACCCTGTTCTTCTATGCTTAAATGGTAAAAATGTAGCATTTTGCTTGTTCTAACCATTTTTCTTGATAACTTGCAAATGCTGGCCTTCATTCATGTTTTGTCGTGAGGTCCAGGATGAACAAGTTGGGAGAAGCATTGGAGCTAGTTATACTGTGATAGTTGCGTTTCCTGATGTGAACATTTTTTCTATTGTAAACTTGATGTGAACTATATTTTTCTGTAATAATGTGTTACCAGGATGAACCATCCTTGCTGTGTTACCAGGATGAACAAGTTTGATTGTAATAATGTTCCAAGTTTGGCTCTTTCTGATTGTATTTGTGATGTGTACCATATTTTTCCTGATTAGTCGTGCTCTGTTTGAAGCATTTTGTCTTCTCTCTGTTTGGGTTTAAATATTGTTATTTATTTACTGGAAAATTGAGATCTGAAGAATATAACAGTGACAACTAGGACCCACTTGTTAGAACCTGGCAACTGGGTCCCATCTCACTAGTGGGCTCATCTTTTGGAAAATATAAAATAAAAAAGGCCATGGCCTAGAAAATAAAAAAGCCACATTCTTGGTCCAGGCCCATGTAGCTAATAAAAGCATAGGGAAAAAATATAGAAAGGCCGAATTGTTGGGCTAGGCCCATGTAAAACGCCGAATTGGACCGGGCTGATTCTTGTGCCACATCAGATTGCCACGTCGGATGCCTACGTGGCCTGCGGAGGCTGCTAGTGACCAAAACAAAACAGTAGGAATATTTTGGTCGTAAACGTCTACGACCTTCTCACAGAGAAGGTCGTTAATTTCAGTTTATGACCGCCAGCTTTTGACCTTCTGTTTTTGGTCAAAAAAAGGTCGCAAATGAAAAACTATGACCATTCAGTGACCAATAGTCAAGGTCACAAGTTGACATATTTCTTGTAGTGCGTAGAAACTTTATTTTCTTGTTACGATGATTTTCCACTTCACTCTGTAATTCTTTGAACTTTTCAAATGTTTCAGACTTGTGTTTCATTAAGTAGATATACCCATATCTGCTCAAATCATCTGTGAAGGTGAGAAAATAACGATACCCGCCGCGAGCCTCAATATTCATTGGACCACACACATTAGTATGTATGATTTCTAACAAATCAGTTGCTCGCTCCATAGTTCCGGAGAATGGTGTTTTAGTCATCTTGCCCACGAGGCACGGTTCGCAAGTACCAAGTGATTCATAATCAAGTGATTCCAGAAGTCCATCAGTATGGAGTTTTTCATGCGCTTTACACCAATATGACCCAAACGGCAGTGCCACAAATAAGTTGCACTCTCATATCAACTCTTCATCTTTTGGCTTCAACATTATGAATATGTGTATCACTACTATCGAGATTTATTAAAATAGACCACTCTTTAAGGGTGCATGACCATAAAAGATATTACTCATATAAATAGAACAACCATTATTATCTGATTTAAGTGAATAACCATCCCGCATTAAAGAAGATCCAGATATAATGTTCATGCTCAACGCTGGCACCAAATAACAATTATTCAGGTCTAAAACCAACGTTGGAACCATTTGCCACGTGCATCGTCACCTCGTCCTTAGCCAATCTTCGCTTAATCCGTAGTCCCTGTTTCGAGTTGCAAATATTAGCAACAGAACTAGTATCAAATACCCAGGTGCTACTGCGAGCATTAGTAAGGTACACATCAATAACATGTATATCACATATACCTTTGTTCACCTTGCCATCCTTCTTATCCGCCAAATACTTGGGGCAGTTTCGCTTCCATTGACGAGTCTGCTTGCAATAGAAGCACTCAGTCTCAGGCTTAGGTCTAGATTTGGGTTTCTTCTCTTGAGTAGCAACTTGTTTGCTGTTCTTCTTGAAGTTCCCCTTCTTCTTCCCTTTGCCCTTTATCTTGAAACTGGTGGTCTTATTGACCATTAACACTTGATGCTCCTTCTTGATTTCTACCCCCGCAGCCTTTAGCATCGCGAAGAGCTCAAGAATTGTATTTTCCATCCCTTGCATATTATAGTTCATCACAAAGCTCTTGTAGCTTGGTGGTAGTGATTGAAGAATTCTGTCAATGACGCTATCATCCGGAAGATTAACTCCCAGTTGAATCAAGTGATTGTTATACCCAGGCATTATGAGTATATGCTCACTGACAGAACTATTCCCCTCCATCTTGGAGCTGTAGAACTTATTGGAGACTTCATATCTCTCAATATGGGCATTTGCTTGAAATATTAACTTCAACTCCTGGAACATCTCATATGCTCCATGACGTTCAAAACGTCGTTGAAGTCCCGGTTCTAAGCCGTAAAGCATGGCACACTGAACTATCGAGTATTCATCAGCTTTGCTCTGCCAGACGTTCATAACATCTGGTGTTGCTCCTGCAGCAGGTTTGGCACCTAGCAGTGCTTCCAGGACGTAATTCTTCTGTGCAGCAATGAGGATAATCCTCAAGTTACGGACCCAGTCCATGTAATTGCTACCATCATCTTTCAACTTTGCTTTCTCAAGGAACGCATTAAAATTCAACGGAACAACAGCACGAGCCATCTATCTACAACAAACATAGACAAGCAAAATACTATCAAGTACTAAGTTCATGATAAATTTAAGTTCAATTAATCATATTACTTAAGAACTCCCACTTAGATACACATACCTCTCTAATCATATAAGTGATCACGTGATCCAAATCAACTAAACCATAACCGATCATCACATGAAATGGAGTAGCTTTCAATGGTGAACATCACTATGTTGATCATATCTACTATATGATTCACGCTCGACCTTTCGGTCTCAGTGTTTCGAGGCCATGTCTGCATATGCTAGGCCCGTCAAGTTTAACCTGAGTATTCTGCGTGTGCAAAACTGGCTTGCACCCGTTGTAGATGGACGTAGAGCTTATCACACCCGATCATCATGTGGTGCCTGGGCACGACGAACTATGGCAATGGTGCATACTCAGGGAGAACACTTTTATCTTGAAATTTAGTGAGAGATCGTCTTATAATGCTACCGTTAATCAAAGCAAGATAAGATGCATAAAAGATAAACATCAAATGCAATCAATATAAGTGATATGATATGGCCATCATCATCTTGTGCTTGTGATCTCCATCTCCGAAGCACCGTCATGATCACCATCGTCACCGGCACGACACCTTGATCTCCATCGTAGCATCGTTGTCGTCTCGCCAACTATTGCTTCTACGACTATCGCTACCGCTTAGTGATAAAGTAAATCAATTACAGGGCGATTGCATTGCATACAATAAAGCGACAACCATATCGCTCCTGCCAGTTGCCGATAACTCGGTTACAAAACATGATCATCTCATACAATAAAATATAGCATCACGTCTTGACCATATCACATCACAACATGCCCTGCAAAAACAAGTTAGACGTCCTCTACTTTGTTGTTGCATGTTTTACGTGGCTGCTACGAGCTGAGCAAGAACCATTCTTACCTACGCATCAAAACCACAACGATAGTTTGTCAAGTTAGTGATGTTTTAACCTTCTCAAGGACCGGGCGTAGCCACACTCGGTTCAACAAAAGTTGGAGAAATTGACACCCGCTAACCACCTGTGTGCAAAGCACGTCGGTAGAACAAGTCTCGCGTAAGCGGACGCGTAATCTCGGTCCGGGCCGTTTCATCCAACAATACCGCCGAACCAAAGTATGACATGCTGGTAAGCAGTATGACTTGTATCGCCCACAACTCACTTGTGTTCTACTCGTGCATATAACATCTACGCATAAAACCAGGCTCGGATGCCACTGTTGGGGAACGTAGTAATTTCAGAAAAAATCCTACGCACACGCAAGATCATGGTGATACATAGCAACAAGAGGGGAGAGTATTGTCCACGTACCCTCGTAGACCGAAAGCGGAAGTGTTGGAACAAGGCGGTTGATGTAGTCGTACGTCTTCACGGCCCGACCAATCAAGCACCGAAATCACGACACCTCCGGGTTCTAGCACACGTTCAGCTCGATGACGTCCCTCGAACTCCGATCCAGTCGAGTGTCTAGGGAGAGTTCCATCAGCACGGCATGGTGACGATGTTGATGTTCTACCATCGCAGGGCTTC